CATCACTTGTAAAAAAAAATTAAACAATATATTTTTCTTTGCCTGGTCTTAAACGGCCAGTTGAAACAGATGGATAACTGAGCCGTTGCATCAGCAATTATTAGTGACAGTCACTTTTTTCAGAAAAAATGACTTCCTCTGCTCCTCTGCCAAAGAACAGAGAAGAGTTAAGTTTGCTTATTAAGTCACTTTGTTGTTTAGTCTTTAAGTCGTGTCCGACTCTTCGTGACCCCATGGACCAGAGCACGCCAGGCCCTCCTATCCTCCACTGCCTCCCGGAGTTGGGTCAAATTCATGTTGGTAGCTTGGATGACACTGTCCAACCACCTCGTCCTCTGTCGTCCCCTTCTCCTCTTGCCTTCACACTTTCCCAACATCAGGGTCTTTTCCAGGGAGTCTTCTCTTCTCATGAGATGGCCACAGTATTGGAGCCTCAGCTCTAATACTTTGTTAAGTCACTTTACACTATGGGAAATTGACAGTTGAAGGGCCCTTGACAGCTTTGACAACTGCAAGGCTCACTTTTGGCCTGTTTCTAGCGACCACGTGCTGGAAATGGACAAAACCAGGGTGATCCTAATAATGTGTGCCATCAAGTCACTTCTGACTTACAGTGACCCTTTTTAGGGTTTCCCAGATAGAGAATACACAGAAGTATATTTCCCATTCCTTTCTTCTGGGGATGGCCTGGGATTGTGCAGTTTGCCCAAGGCCACACTGGCTGGCTCTACTCAGAGAAGGCAAATGGGAGAATTGTACTCCCAGTGTCAGGCTCCCTAAAAAGATACCTAAACCACCGAGTTATCCAACCAACTAAAGTGGTCCAACCTGAAGAAGAAGAAGAAGAAGAAGAAGAAGAAGAAGAAGAAGAAGAAGAAGAAGAAGGAGAAGAAGGAGAAGAAGAAGAAGAAGTCGTCCCTTAAAGGGGCTCAGAAAGGTGTAGGTAGGAATGCTCTGAGGACCATTTGGTTCTCTCCAGCGATTACATCATCTGATCACCAGAAAAAAGATCAAACCAACCCGTCCCCAGAGCAGACTAAACTGGAGAGAGATGCATGTATGAAAATACTGTATCGTTTATTATAATAGGGATAAGAGTAAGAGGTCCAATTGGATCATTTAAAATTCTAGACAATGCCTTACATGATTACTCAGAAGTAAAGCCCAAGTGAATGGATAAGTAGTATAAGAGAGCAATCCTGGCCACTCCTTGACAGCCACACTTGTTCTCTTCCTGTTGGGTGAACTTAACTCTTAGGTAAAACAGATTTTTCTAGCTATTTTTTAAAAGCTTCAGAAACATTCATGGAGGCTCATTCTATGCCCGGATGCACAAAGAAGACAAAAGAGCAGTTCAGACTATGGACTCTGATAACAAGCAGGATCTGTGCAGCTGAATCCTTCCAGTAGTGTCTGGTACCCTGGGACAGATAGGCCAGTACCCCCATCTCAGCATTAAGCTACCCTAGCAAGCTCCTTCTTCCCTACCTCTTTACTAGAGACAGATGGCGTCAGAGCCCTACCTGGATTCCCCTCCTACTGAAATTTCAGTTTCACTAGCTGTATGTGAGAGGGGAGGAAAAGGAAGAGAGAAACTGGAATGAACTGCTCCCCCTTCCTCTACCTGATCAGCCATGATGGGTGCCAGATGTTGCTGGATCCTATTCTATGAATTTTAATGAGACCTATGCCCAAGTAGAGGAACCTTAATGGCAGAGTGGGCTTCTGTTTGCAATTTATGTATCTACAAAGGCCGGCATGGTAAATCTAGTCGTTGGGCTCTGAGGCAGATACCGTAGATGAGCAACACAGGATAGTGTCCCAGACTGCCTCTTCAATACTCTAGTGCTAGTCTCCTGTTCAGAGGATAAAGGAAATAGCATAAGCTTCCCCAGCAACAGCTGGCCCCTTGTTGCATGACCAAGCACACAAGCGGCTGGGCCATCAGTCTCACAATTAGTGTGAGACCAGGCATGCAACAAAGGGCTTGTCAGAGAGAGGGGAATGCTAACGTAGCAGCTCTTCCGCAAGCAGGTAGTGCAACAGGATCCTGGCCAGGGATTTGGAACTGACCAATGACAGGAGGGGTTAGACATCATTTTGAAGAACTCCTCGGAGCTGCAAGAACACTGGTGGTTCAGAGCAGGATGTTGGGCAGCCAAGAAGAGTCATAGAAAGCATTGGTGGTGGAAACAGAAGAGCCACACCATCTCCTCCTAAAGCATATCTGAGCAGGCCAACCTTGGGTCTTCCCTACATTTCATTCAATTGCTTCTTTCGTAGATGAATGGAATCATAAAGTTGGCTGTGAACCTGCTGGCGTGGGGCCAAAACCCCAGAGGCTTAATGAGGCTCTGGCCTCAAGAAAACTTCTTAGAGTCTAGTTGAAACATGAAGCTTGGCAAGAGCACTCTGTTTAAAAGACTCCTAAAGCATATCTGAGCAGGCCAACCTTTGGTCTTCCCTACATTTCACTCAATTGCTTCTTTCGTAGATTAATGGAATTGTAAAGTTGGCTGTGAACCTGTTGGCGTGGGGCCAAAACCCCAGAGGCTTAATGAGGCTCCGACCTGAAGAAAACTTCTTAAGAGTCCAGTTGAAATGAGAAGCTTGGCAAGAGCACTCTGTTTAAAAGACAAGCCTTGAAAACTAAGGACACTAGTTATACAGAGCCTCTTATCAGACTGCTTCCATTCCTCCCACTTAAATTTAGCAAAGTAAGAGACTTAGACATGGGACAAAACAACATGAGAGAGTCCTTAGTGATTATAATATAATATATTGGATATGGCTAAACATATATACATGGCAATATACATTTGGCATTACAACATTCAGAGCAATGACATAGAAGTAAATGGCCACCAGACTTACTGCTGAGTGGCAAATGGTCTGTTCTGTCTCTGTTACATTTATACCCACAACAACCAATCACATTTCACCATTTACAGCTGGCCTTGGTTAACAATCAAGCATTACATCATCTTGTTACACCTCTATGCTGTTGGTCATTACACTGGCTTTTACTCTACATTGGTGACTCTGCACTTCCATTACAGTATTAAAATTTAACTCCCTGCTCACCAAAAGAACAAAATTCTGACAGAACTAAGAGTCATCTATCCAATCTCTGTGGTGGTGGGGAGGGAAGAGGCAGGGTTTGTGATGATCCTATCTTGCTTGCATCTACTTCTCATTATAGAGCACAGAGTAGAGATTCAGAATCTCTGTTTGGCTTTTGTTTTGAACTTAAAGTTTGGCATAGCATCTTATATTCAAAAATGCATCATCGGCTTTCATAAATGGGAGCTCACATCATTGGATGTATGAAATGTTATTCTCACACTGTAGATACATTTTTAATTTGTTTTTTTAAATAAATTATTTCAATCCTGCGTTATCTCCCAAGATCTTGCTGCAGGGTCAAATAATAATAAAAAATAAACAATATAAAGCAACAATTTGAAACAGTTGAAACAATTTACAACAGGGTAAAACAATATACAGTACATTGTATATACTAGAACAGAGATCACTCAGGAAAACTATAATCACAAAGTTTTGCAATAGAAGTAAAGAATTTAAAGCAAAGCTCTCTCCCCTCCCAGCTCTCTAAATGTTTTTGACTGCAGCTGCTATAATCCAGTTGATTGGGGATTTGGGAAATTGAAGTACAAAACATCTGGAGGGCCAAAATTTGCCCACTCTTGTTCCAAGGAGCAACCCATTAGATAAATCTTTGCTGCTGTGTTTTCAATACCAGTGATTCCCAATCCTGGTTCCCCAGAGGTTCTTGTGCTGGCTAGGATATCTAGGAGTTGCAATCCAAAAAACATCTGGAGACCTAGCTTTGGGAGCTCCAGTTCTATAAGATCCTATTGATGCTTCTGTGCAATAAAGCCCCAAGGAGAGAATGCAATAGCACTTACTCCCAGATGTGCATGTATTGGACTGCAACTATCATTACAAGAGATGTAAGAGCCTTTCGCAAACGCTTGAGCCACTCTTCCTGGTTGTGAATGTGGGAAGAAAGGAGGGAGGCTCAGACCTCTGCCATGCATTTCTTGTTTGTGCTTGCATGCACCTAACCACCTAGGAATGGGACAGATGAATGGAGCTTATTGCTGTGGCACTGTCTTTACCTTGCATATTCATCAAACCTTCAATATCTGAAAAGGCTTTTGTAATATTTCCTGTATTACTGACACACAGGCATAGCACAAGCAATATATGCAGCCAGGAACTCTTTAAATATATTTGCCCCACATTACATTTGAGAAGATTTTACATCCCAAGATGCATTGCCAGTGTTCACCTTTCTCTGGTTTTCTAACAGCATAAAACATGTTTCTCAGACACTGTCTGACAAGCAAACATTCATCTCCAAACCAACAGTGCAGGCCAATTGTCCATTCTGGAAACACAGATAGCAAGTAATGGGCAACAACCATCTGGAGCTACACAAAACCCCCAGTCCATCAATCCATAATAATAATAAATTCTCATAGTAATAAGGAAGCAAAGTCACAATAATGTAACAGAGAGGGTGTTTTTGATTGATTATTAACATGATGATGAAACATAAAAGGAGAAGCAGTCTCCAGAGATGCATCCGTGCATACCATAATACAGATCTGGTTTTGTTCTGCTTATGACAGCACAGAATTTTAGAAAAAAATAATAACTGGGAGTGAGTTCAGAGTTGATGAAAGAGATGCAACCTCTGAATTTTGCAACAAACAGAAATACACACAAGGTGTCAGAATCTATAGCTGATCTATCAAGCTGTGATACAGAGCAACATTTCTACACAGCTGCTCTCTTATTCCAAAAACTCACACTGGGCTCTCTTGTCATACAAAACTGCCCTTTATTGTCAACCTGACTTCGGCACATGCCAAGAGTCTGCCACACATTATGACTTTCAACTATGCTGGGAAGGTTTCTGTTCCTCTAGCAAGGCCCTTGGCTTTTAACCTTCTTGTCCCATTGACTTGCAGGCTGTCCTTTGTGTCTGGAATTCCTGTCCCCCACAAAGCCATGGAGGCCATGGTTCATCTTGACACAACTGGGTTGGGAGACCTGGTGCTGCTGGACCCCTTGACAGAAGACACCTTGATGCGGAACCTGGAGGAACGCTTCCAGCACAAGGAAATCTATGTAAGAAGGGTGTGAAGAAAGGGGGGGGGGAGAGAGAGACAAAATGTAACTGTGAGAAGATGGAGATTTGAAAGGAGGAACAGTATGGGATGATATGGGGCATTTTAGTGGCTACTTAGGCTTTGTTGAAACAGAAAATACATCAAAACCCCTCAGGAAGAAGGCATAAAATGTGCATGTGTAAATTAATGCACGTTTCAATATAATTACTACAATATAAATAGACATATTACAATGTATTTTACCTTAGTAGGGAAGACTGGGACCAGTATGTCTGGTCCTCGGTCCACTGCCCAGATGCTCACTGTGGATCTGTGATGCCAAGGTCCTGCCCTGCTCTTCCTTCTAAGGATCTTTATTTTTAAATTGGATTTAGACTAAGTTGGATGCCTAGTGTGATGTAGTGGACAGAGTGACAGACTAGGGCTCAGGAGACCTGGGTTCAAACCCCATTTGGCTATGGAACTGACTGTGTGGTGTGTGAATGGCACTGGTAAGACCACTCATTCAATATGTATCTCACGTTGGAAGCTTTCTTAGGTTGGCAAGAAGCTGATTATGACTTGAAGGCACATAACATAGCATAGACTAAGTTATAGATTGGTTATGTTGAAACAGGGCAGGTGTGAGGATCTTTCAGTATTTTGAATCTCAACTCCCAGAAATCCCAGCCACCTTTGACGAGCTGTCGGAGTTGTTGCCCAAAACATCTGGAGGGACAAGGGTTCCCTACCCTCCAGAAGAGAACACCTTCTCTAAAGTGGGGCACACGGTCATTTTTACATGCAACACAAGCCTGCACATGTTTACTCAGAAGTAGATTCTACTGTGTGTTGAATGTGGCCTACTCCCTAGGACCGGAACAGGAAACTTGTGGCTTAAAAAGTGGTTCCCAGTCATGAGTCTCCAGATGTTGTTAGGCTTCATTCCTCAGAAACCTCATGGGCAATGACAAGTGATTCCTGGAACCCTATATTGTAGTCCAACAATATAGGTGGCTCGTTAAGCTTGGGAACCATGATGTTATTGATATTATATGTGTTAACTGGACTATAGTTCATATCATCAAATATACAGTATACTAGTTAGCTGCATCCGGGGGGCTGCTCACCCTAGTGAGAAAGTGTGGGGTCATTGAATAACTGTGTGCATGTGTGTCTTTTAAAAGATGTTTAATTACATGCTTTCTGCCTATTTTATTTAAATATTTTGTTTCACAAGCATGTTTGAAGTAAACAAATATAATTCACAATCTGAAGGAAAGAACTCTCTCTCCCTCTCTCTCTCTGTGTTTGCACTGCCATGTGTTAATAACTTATTTGTACCGGAATCATCTTTTTATTTACAGAATACAGGGAGGGGTTTATGTGAAGAGAAAACAATGCCAGTTTGAAGCAGTTTTATCTTTAAACAGGGTTGTACTGGTTTGAAACTTAACAAGCATTTCTAACCCAAAGATGCACTAGATCTTGGGTGACCCAGGTATTCTTGGCAAGTCTGAGAAACCTGACCCAGCACAGCTAGTAGTGAAGGCTTCTGGGAGTTGCAGTCCAAGAACATCAGGGTTACCCAGGGTTGAGAACCACTGCAATAATTTAGGAGTTTAGGATTCTGTCTGCAGACCTGAGGATCTGCTCACATAACAACCTGATAAATGAGCACAGTTACTCCATATTTAAGCCCCCTTCAGTCATGGGACGCAGGCACAAGGACAGCACAAAAGGGCAAGTTTTAAGTAACTTCCAACATGTCTGGGACAGGATAGGCTTTGATTTAGCACAGCATCCCCTCGCCTGGTGTCAGGTCAGCTGGCCTTGGGCTGTCTTGGCTAGTTAGGATTGTACATACCAAGAGTGGGCCTGCTGAAATGAATAGGACCCAAGTTAGGCATGAGAAATGTATGTCCCATTTTTTCAACATGTCTATTCTTTAAGCACAAATTAAATCTGGATCCAGTTCATGATTCCACTCCACTTCCCCAGATCGTATTTTGTCACTTCGTCAAGCACTACACATGCAGATTGCACTACACAACAAGTTATAGAATAGTAGCCCCACTCTCCCGCTGGTGCACCTGTCTCCACCTACCACGTCCAACCCCTCGTTCTGAACTGCTGTTCTAGGAAGCTGAGAAAAAGAAGCAGACAGGAGATTACATGTTTCAGAAAATACGATTAAGCTGAATTCAAGAGGAAAGCTCCTTTCAACGTGGCTGACAAGAAATTCCACCACCCTCCACAACAATAACCAACCGGGTAACCACAAATTACATCAGACAGGCACAAGCAGTAGTAAGAACACAATCCACCACCCTCCACAACAATAACCAACCGAGTAACCACAAATTACATCAAACAGGCACAAGCAGTAGTAAGAACAGAAGTACTGTATTTGCTGAGAAAATAGTATAATCCAACATGTGATTTCAGCTAAAAAACCAATAAACCACAACTTGTTGTTTTTTAATACCAATAAACAGTCCAATAAACCACAGGAAAAAGCCGAAGGAAACCAATGGGTCTTCAGAGTTTTTCTAAAGGATGAATACTTCCTGACAGATCTCAGATGGAGATGTACTCCAAGTGGGGCAAAGCCACTGTTGGGAAGGCCCTTTTCTATGTTCTTACTCACTCCGATGTCCTCAAAAATGGTCATGTAGGAAACGTTTCTTACCATTGCTGATCTTAAAGGGTGATAGAACCTTCTGCTGGAATAGGCTTCTGTTTGTTCACACTTACCACTAACCTCCCTCCAGGCTTGAAGGCTTTTTCTGGCCTTGAGCTATTCAGATGCCTCTTCTCCTCTCAGAAACATAGGACACAGCATTCTTCCGCTCTAAAGAACCGTCACTGTCTTGTTGTGACATCTTCACCCATGGTGACACTATCTCCTTTATCTCAGACTTACTTACTTACAGTACTGACTTACTTAAAATATTTTTAACCCCACCTTTCTCCCTAAGGACCCAAGGTGGCTTACATCATTGAAACAACCAAAGTTTACATCCTGGAACAACAGTTTTCAATTTGTTGACCTAATATTACATCACAAAAAGACAAGAATTAATGCTAAAAACAGTATCTATACATATGTTTAAAAGGATTAAACAAATACCACATTAAGACCGTAAACAAAGACAACACTAAAAACACACTCGAAGCAGGAAGGCACAACAATCCATTTTAAAACCCCACTCAGGTAGCCAGTCATTAAGGGAAAGATTGCCTGATGAGAAAGTTCTTTGCCTGCTTGTGGAAGGACAGCAAAGATGGGGCCAGCCTGAACTCCTGTGGGAGGGAGTTCCAGAGGCTGGGAGCAACAACTGAGAAGGCCCGCTCACAGGTGCCCACCAAGCAGGCCTGTGAAGGTGGTGGGACCGACAGAAAGGGCTCCTCTGATGATCTTAACACTCAAGCAGGCTTATGAAGGGCATTTAGGTGTTTAGCAACCTATCCCTTACTGTATAGTGCAAATGTCATGCTCTGACTAACCATGTGAATGATGCTCAAGATAAGGCCTCCAGCCTAGATGGTTTTCAAAGGGAATTAGACAAATTCATGTAGGATAAAAGCTATCTGTTGTTATGGGTCATAAGAGTTTAATAACCTTCTTGCCTCATAGACATACATTGGGAATGTGTTGATTTCTGTGAACCCCTACGAACAGCTGCCCATTTATTCAGAAGCGACGTTGGAGGAGTATAAGAACTGTAACTTCTTTGCTGTAAAACCCCACATGTAAGTGAGATGCTGAGGGAGCATAACCTCAACAAACCTTCAGATCTTTATACCCTCGAGGACTGGGACATGGGGCAGGGGTGTGCGTGCTGTGAGAATGCATTCAGATCCTCCTCATGCTTGTCTGTTGTGTTTTTTTTTTTTTTTGATAGCTATGCCATAGCTGATGATGCCTATAACTCCCTGAGAGAGCAGGACAAGGACCAGTGTGTTCTGATCACTGGTGAGAGTGGGGCTGGCAAAACAGGTGAGTGGGGATCTGTAGTGCTCTTATTTGCATAATTAGACTGTAAACCTCCTAGAGAGTGCTCTAGTACTGGGAGGGGGGTATAGAAATTGAAGAAGCAGTGGCTGCAGAGGCTGATTTTTTTTTTTAAAAAATTGTCCACTGGAATGGAAAAAGAAAGAAAGAGGGTTCAGTAGGAGAAGGCCCAATGGCCTGTGGAAAGAGACAAGGTCAAGGAGAAACAAGGCCTTCAGTAGCATGTCAGAGTGTAAATGGTATGAATTTAGGGACACAAGGTTTTTTTTTAAAGAAGAAAATGCTTGAATAATATACAAACCCCTCAGTACCGGTGATGAAGGAGGATGCAAAAGGTCTGTTGTGGCTTACATATATTTAGTGGCACTGGCTAATTGCAATGCTGCGTTTTTGTCAAGAAACTTGGGATGGTTCTGGAGAGACTTTTATTACACAATTGTCTAGCTTTACTCACAGAATTTCACAGGGGGAGGAGATGACACCATCTTTCATTTATGTTCTTCCCATATTTTTCCAAAATGTCTGCTTCCTTCTTTCTTACCACAAAAGAAAAATAAGCACAAACCATTTTGTGTGTGTGTGTGTGTGGGGGGAATGAAAGAGAAGTGCATTACAGTGGGGTCTTGACTTGAAAACTTTAATCCGTATTGGAAGGCGGTTCTCAAGTCAAAAAGTCTGTAAGTCAAGTCTCCATTGACCTACAGTGCATTGAAAACCGATTAATCCCATAACAGGCCGTTTTTGTTCCATTTTGGTTTTTTTCTGGTCTGCAAGTCAAACCTAAATTTTGCGGCCAGAGAAGTCTGTAACTCGAAAAGTCTGTAAGTCAAGCCGTCTGTAAGTCAACGGTCCACTGTATATCTTTTAATCAGTAGCACTAATAAGAGCATGAAATTCAGAAGAATCCTGCTCTTGCTTCTATATGGTGAACTATAAATCACAGATAACCCATCATTAGAGAAAGGAAGTGCTGAGAACCCCTGGTTGTCACAGTGAGAACTTTTCCTCACATTCCATAATTTGAAAACTAGCTTACTTTGTTTTGATGGTCATTCTTTGAGATGTAAACGGAGTTTTCTTTTGCAACTGAGATTTTTCAAATAAAAAAGTCACAGTCTCTGGAACACTAATAGATTACAGTTCTACCTACAGTATAATGAATAGTTAAGCCCTGTGATAAATGATAAGCAAATGAACTGCAATTACATCCCCCCACTTGTAGAAAAATCACTACCAATTGATTGTTTTCAGCTGGATTCCCCCACCTGCTTGTGAAATTACATCAGATGCTGATGAACAGCTATGTGTACATCCCCCCAAGCAAAGAATCCATCACAGTGCAGAAACAGCTCCTGAGTTAGTGGCAGGTCCCTCAAGCCTCAGTCCTAAATGCTCACCCTAGTCATTGGTCCTCATGTTTTTTCTCCACTAGAGGCAAGCAAGCTAGTGATGTCCTATGTGGCAGCTGTATGTGGGAAAGGGGAGCAGGTGGACCGTGTCAAAGAGCAGCTCTTGCAGTCCAACCCAGTGCTGGAAGGTAGGTGCCCTCTGCTTTCTTCTAAGGGAAGGAGATAGGATGTGAACAGGACTCTAAGGTAGGTCAAGACCTTCTCTTGCAGTGCTGACTATGTCCAGTGAGGACTCATTAAAGATGAAGGGTCCCGATGCCTTTATTCAAGCCAGAGTTTTCTCTGGTGTTACAAAGGACATAGGTTGGGTAGGGTCATGGCCACTGATGGGTGATATCGTCTCCTCTGTGCTAGAGGTCCCACATGTCTGTGGTTTTGAAAAGTAATTAATTTTTTAGAAGGTTTACTATTTTAATCTTAAACACAACAAAGAATCCTGTGGGACATTTAAAACTAACAGGTTTTATTTAGCACATGTTTTTGTGGACAGCAGCCCACTTCTTCAGATGCAAGAAGTGCATCTGAAGAAGTAGGCTGCAGTCCACAAAGGCTTGTGCCAGTGTGACCATTGCTGTGGCCACCAGAGTGGTGGGCTAGACCTCTCCAGCCATAGTCCCCATAAACTCAAGGTAATGCTAGAACTTGACTCTATTAGGGTCATGGAATGTGGAAGAAGAAAAGAAGGGGCACCAGTCCCTTTTCCCCCCAAGTTGCCGACACCTGTCTTCCATGTGATGCAGTTTCTGTTCAATCCCAGCTTGACATCACTGCAGTTGACAGTCCTGGCTGATATTGGCTTTGGGGATTTAATACAGCCCAAAGCCACTGATGCCCTCTAAGTAAGGCTTGAAATGCTGGGTCCTGCCAGCCCCAGCCTCTGCCTCTTCATCCTGCTGGGTCCTATACCTTTCCTCCTCCTCCTCTCCATCCTGGGGTAAGCTGTCCTGTATCTTAGCCCACCAGAAGCCCGTAGCGTGCACCTTCTGACAAGCCTTCCAAGGGGCACAGGATGAGGGCAGATGGCCACCTGGAGTGCCGGCAGCAACTCCCTCATAGCCAGATAAAACGTGCTGGTCCTAAATGTGCCAAAGGACTGTTCATTGGTTTTGCTCCAATGGACTGATGTGGTTACCTCCTTTTAAAAACTATTTTATTCTTGCTTCTTTACAATCAGAATAGCCCACCTTAAAATGAATGAATGAATGAATGAATGAATGAATGAATGAATGAATGAATGAATGAATGAATGAATGAATGAATATTGCCCAGCAAGCCATATTATGAACCCGTGTTCAATCAATTTCTTTATTTCACAACTTCTGTGACATGGGGGGGTGTGTGGAAATTATGCTGAAGCAATTTTATGCACCCTTTCCTCTAATCACGCAGACAAAATATTGCATTAAAGATGGTAGATTGAAATGACTACAGATGGCTACTGAAGAGAACCAAGGATGTTTCCTTGTATGGGGACATTCCATGGGTCAGTCTGGCTCAGTATTGTCTACAGTGGCTGACAGTAGCTCTTGCAAGTCAGAAGGTCAAGGGCCAGGGATCAAACAGGACTCCTTTAGTATGCAAAACATGAACTCTGCCACTAAGGTACAGCATTTCTCCTGGCATTGAAATAATTAGCTGTAGTTGTTATCACAGCATATCTTGCCCTTCAAGTATTTCAGCAGTCCCTGGCCCAGCCTCTGTTTGTTCTCAGTTGTTATTCTATGATTCCACTAAGCCTGTTACTTCTTGTTTTAAATCTTTGCCTTCCTGGTACCTTCAAATACCTTCCTCTCTCTTTCCGTCAGCCATTTTTCAGAAAGCAGAGAGTTTAGTATTTTGGAGGTATGTGATGCAAAATGAGTACAAGCAAAGGCAAAGATAGCCCCCTCAAATGGTTCCCATACCCCAGGAAAGTGCTTGCCCTGGGTTAGTGCCGTGCCAAAGTTAGCCAGTTGTTTCATGTTTTTGTGCATTTATTTCTTGGCTTTTTTAGTGCTTGAGTTCCAGGCTGTGTCACTTGCAGGGCAGAGGACTTGTTTGGTCCACCTGGCAGGGGTTGGGCTGGCCTAGCCTGGGCAAGTTGTTCCCAGAAAAATGTGCAACTACATAACGTTCATCTTCTTGTTTTTTTCTCTCTGGCAGCCTTTGGGAATGCCAAAACCATCCGCAACGACAACTCCTCGCGATTTGTAAGTAGGTGGTGGGGAATGAATGCCTTGTGGGGGGCTGATAGCATCTCTTGGAAAACATGGGCATGCAATTTTCAAAAACCCAGAGACGGACGGGAGGAGGCAAGGCTTCTGTGCTAATCCCAGCCAACTGCCTCTACATTCTGCAACTCAAATTATGTGTCAAGCAAAAGCTGCATGAACAGTGCAAATCAATCAAACATTTAGCATTGTCTGTGTAGCGTATCATGTTTCCATTTACCATAGAGATAGGCAACAAGGTATGAAGTCTGTTCTCACGAGCATTGAAGGTTCAGAGTTTGGATTATAATTGTAAGAGAAGAAAATTAAAACTGAGATTTCTCAATGTATTCATTTGGAGCCCATTTGTCAGTGAAATCACAGAATCATGAAATACAAGCAGCGGGTCATCCCAGATTTCAAGGCCACCCTCTGAAGTCTCACAGGGCCAAGGTTGGACAAGCCTGCTCTAAAGTCTCACGGAATTGCTAGGCTTCCCCAGAGAGAGAGAAACAAATCTCAGAGGGAGCAATGCTGGAAGAAGAGAAAATTTTGTGTTTGTCTGTGATGGGGTTTTAAAGCCTGGGCACAGTTCTTCATTCATTCACAGCCGGCACCAGTTTTTCTATGAGTCCTGTTCTTGCACAATATTGGCACACCAAAAAGCCAAGAACAGGGTAGAGAACCTCAGAAAGGGTCAGTGACTGCATCCCTTTGGCCTCTTATACAGCTTGGTCCAAACTGTTTAATGGGCCCCAGAGTGATTTTCTTCATCTAGAGCTCCATTAAAGCTGCTCTTTGCTTTGCTGGGAAAGCCACGCACATTCAATACATATATCTCAGACATGCAGCTTGGCCCTTAGTAACTATTGTTTTCTATTCATTTCACACGCCTGCATGTAGTAACATGGGTCAAATGAGAATCCCAATGATAATGTGGGCCTTTTCACATCATTCAGGAATTGTAGGCGCTTTGTTTTGCTCCATCGGCTTTCCTGCTTATTTCTTTTTTTATTTTTTTCTCCCTCTAGGGCAAATACATGGATATTGAGTTTGACTTCAAGGGCGATCCTTTGGGTGGTGTCATCAGCAACTGTGAGTATGACTGACAGGATCCGTAAGAGAAGGAGACACAGATAGACTTTCATCCTCTGGCCACTTGCTTGAACTGGAGGCTGAAAAGCAGAATCAAGGGGGGGGGGAAGAACATGTGCTGATGTTTAGAATGGAACAGGGATGCTTCACTTCCAAAAGTCACACAAAATAATCACAGCTTGGAAAAGTAATGATTTTTTTTTGGACTACAGTTCTCAGCTGGATAATTCTGGAAGTACAAGGCACTAAGGTCTACACGATGTCTTTCCGTATTTTGTAAGTTCTCTTTTATGAGAACAGAACTACACATAATATGTGAATGTTGCCCTATTCTGGTAGTCTAAAGATGGGCAAAGCCTTGAGGTAAGTGAACAGGCAAGAATGTGCTGGGTCTTCCCCCTTTCTATCTTTGTTTTGATTGCGCTTCTTGTATATAGAGAGGCTTCTGAAGGCAAGTGCCTTCTCACTGTCTTGTGGAGGTTTTCTGCATGGTTTGGAATCCACACTTAAAATATGCTTTCCCTTCAGAAAGTTGCCTTCTAGGGCATGTGGCTTCAGTTTTACAAGAGGGCATCTTGAACTGAGTCCCCTCTCCTGCTGAAGTAAGAAATATGAAAGGCAACAATAAGTAGAAGACAAAAAACAAACGAACAAAGATGTATATTTGGAAGATCATGGACCATGAACAAATTCTTACAAAGATGTATATTTGGAAGATCATGGACCATGAACAAATTCTTCCAAAGATGTATATTTGGAAGATCATGGACCATGAACAAATTCTTCTTCAGGGCATCACAGCATTGATGAACAATTCAGCTGAATGCTGGAGATTCTGTCTTTCCTCTACACTCTGGTGCTGGAGTTTTCCTCCAGCCTCATCACTAAGAATCATTAAGATCTTAACGGGGGTCTTTCTGACAAAGAGTTGCTATCCTGGTGAAAGACTGCTCTAGATAAGCCCTTGTTTTGCTAATTAGGCTTGAAGCTTATTTGCAACTGTGCAGTGGGGAGAGTGGACAGGGTATTTTTGCTTAAAAAAGGAGGTGGCCAAAGGTCAATTGTAAGCTCAGCATATGCAGATATCTTAGGAAGGGAAATATATGGAACAAAATGGTTATGTTTCAGGAAAACTGTGACATGACTAATTTTGGCTAGTAATATAATAAACTTTAGGAGAAGATAAAGTTTGCAAAACATTGTAGCATTCAACAGTATTCCCTGCTACATCCAATCAAATAAGAAACTGGAAGAAAGTACAGTATTTAGAAATAACAAAGTGTTTAGGAAGAGAGAGGTTTTTTTAAAATATAATGTCAAGCCACTGGACACTGTAGTAAAATACAAGGGAATAAAAAAGCTATTAAAAAGGCACTTCCTGATATAATTTTATTATAGAAAGCGCATCATAAATATTCTACAATTTTGTTGTTGTTTTATCAGGAAAGAGGAAACATCTGTGCAATGGAGGTATAGGCAGCTCAGGGGTGCCTCCCTCTATGATTTCAGAGCAAGATAGCCCCATGGTTCAGAATATGGACAGCCCTTGATGGTGGGTTCATCCAGACCTAAAGGTTGTTCAGTTATATTATTGAACAAAGAAAGAAAGCAACAGCGCAGCAGCAGCAGCAGCAACAAATGACTGGATAATGATGTGGCCCCTAAGGCTTCTTTTATCTTTAGGTAGATACTTTCACATATGAAAAAAACTCAATTTTAGACAAGAATTATAACACAAGCAAACCTGGAGATAAATGTGTGCTATATTAAGCAAAGCAAAAATCATATTTACTCAGAGATGCCAAATTAGTAGACACATGAATCCTGACACATCCTAGATTAAAGGTTCCAGCAAGAGATGCTGGAGAGATGGGCAGGAGGGAAGATATGCAAGGTGGATACTAATTACATAGTCCTTTTAACCAGCCTGAAAACTGCTCTGACATATATTTTTGTTATCCTGACAAAACAACAGGATACATATGATTTTTTTGTCACTGAGTGCCATCAAGTCACCTCCAACTTCAGACAACTGTATAATGTCAATAGAGTAATGTTCTTTATAGCTCAAGGAATTCTTTATATTTCTTTGTATATCGGCACAAATAGAAATCCCTAACATGTGGAAATCAAAGCCAAAGGTGTCAATAACAATGGGGAAGCAAGGCTTTGGATGATGAAGGTGACTATATGAGCATTTAGCTTGCTGGGGGGATGGGATGGTTCACTCCTATAGATGGCAATCAGATGTCTTTACTGAAGCAAACTCGCCTGCCCCCAAAGTGGTTCCTACCTGCACCTTTCTCGCCACTGTGAGGGACTCTGGCGCAGGAATGATTGCTCTGGTTTGTTTTGTTCCCAGTATGTGTGATGGCTGGAAATGAACCAAAATGAACCTTCTGCAGTCCATTTGCCAGTATGTTGGAGTGGCTTAAGAAGAGAGCCATATCAGGATATTGGCAAATTCAACGCTTTCTCAGCTCCATGGAAGGGCTGAAGAAGTGGGGGGGGGCACAGCTTTTTTTGTTAAGTGTATTAGGGCAGCACAGATGCCCTGGGCCACTTTTTATATATTTATAGATATAAATAGAAAATATCCTCCTGGGAAGGAGACAGTAGGATGCCATGAGAGGGACTTTTGTTTGCTTTTCTGTTAAAGGTCTGGCTGTGGGCAGGTTCCCAATATCTGACATTTTAGGACATTGGTCCAGGTCCCAAGCTCTCACCTGCACAGAAGTATGTCCTATGCTTCAACTGCTATATACATTTCTCTGGATGCCTTGGGGTGGCATTAAAGAATGTGCTGTGTTGCACAGAGGAAAGGAAGAGACCAGATCGCGGGCATCAAAGGACATTTTGTTTCTTAAAGCTGAAGCCAGGCCTCTGTTGAGGTCCGTTCAGGTTGCTAGTTTTGCATATGTAAACATTTGGTGCTAACAAATAGATGAACTCCTAACATTAGGATTAAATCTACAAATGTCAACTAGATGGCATTTTGCATAGGTAGTGAAATGCTGAAGGAAGAAAATGTGGCCCCATCCTGCCAGAACTCCTTCATGGGAAGTTTACAGGATTAATGTCCTGCATGCCCATTAAAGTCCTAACTTAACAACCTATTACATTAGCTTGTGATTGTGCTAACAGATCAAAACATAGACAAGTGATTTGCTGTTCTAGAAATCTGCAGAGGGAGCAGATGAAATGCCAATGTGCACAGAAAAATTAAGTGAGCAAGTACAGTGGGGTCTTGACTTAAGAACGGCTTGAGTTAAGAACATTTTGACTTAAGAACCGCTCTCATAGGAAAATATTGACTTGACTTAAGTACTTAGATTTGAGTTAAGAACTGAAAAAAACCCACGTGGGAGGCAGGGAAAGTGCAAAATGTGAACTTTCAGTTAACTGTTGGCCAGTGAAACGGGTGCCTGTCTGCTTCCTCACTCCTCCCAGCGTTTAGAGAGTGGATTGGGAGACAGTCTTCGGACTGCCTGGTACTGGACTGCCTGGACTGTATTTTCCCTGCCTTCCCTGAACCTTTCTTGACCTAAGAAACAAAATATCCCCCTCTAGTGGTCGAAGGCGGAATAGCAGCTTCCCATTAGTTTCTATGGACGGAAAAGAGCAGATACGGATCAAATGGTTTTCAATGCATTCCTATGGGAAATGCAGATTTGACCGGAGAACTTTTTGACTTGAGAACCGTCTTCCAATACGGATTAAGTTCTCAAGTCAAGACCCCACTGTATTGGGGTCGACTGCCCTGGTAGCAAATTGCTAGCATAGGAGAAATATGCCGGCTGAGAATGTAAATATAAATAGATGAGAAAAATATAAATATACCCAAACGAGACACAGATAGCAGAAACCATTAGGCAACAGCCGCAGCCACAGTAAACATCATCACTGGGAGCAGGTGACATACACAGGCAAGATCAAGAGGCACCTAACATGGGGTTTTCGCCATATTGGCTATGGCTTGGGTAAGCACAGTTCTAAAGGCTTTTTCTAAAAACTTAAATAATATGTGATATGTTTTAGAGGTGTGTTCTCTGATTTTGATTTTGCATTTTTAAGACTATAAGCTCTTGCATTTTTATAATGTAATCATTCTCCTGGATATTTTTATTGTACCTTTTAGGTTCCTGAATTTTGAAGCATGATTATAACATGATTGAAGTCTTTGCCTGTAACTATAAGAGCTACATGATTTTTGAACCTTTCTATATTTTGAAACATGATTGAAACATGACTTGCATATTACCTGCAACTTAATTTTTATATAAATGTATTTCTCTTTGCAACTTTCTATAGTTTTAAGAATTCTGGATGACATTAATATGATTTAATCATTGATACCTACAACCTTTTATAGTTGCAAGATGTTTTGAATTGTTATATAGACAAAGAAAATATGCTTGTTACTTTTCAAGGATTACATGTTTTTATTTTGCTTTTATACATATGGAACATAGAAGCAATTAGATAAATAAAGCCTGTGCAAAGCCAGTCTTTGTGGCCAGCAGTTTGTTCCCACAGCTATAAATACTCAACTATCCAACAAACTGCAACAGAGCACAGACAGCATTCTGACTCCTGTCCTCTGAAGACTGGTGAAACATTAGGAAGAACAACCTTCAGAACACGGCCAAAGAGCCCAAAAAACTTGCAACAACCAACAGAAGGGACTGCTTGAACATAAATGTGAACTTGAGAGTCTCAACCTTCTCTGGCTTGGCAGAAGAAAAGTACTTACCAACAACAGGCAGCTTTGTCAGTTACACAGAGCAACCTAATCTTGGCTTGTGACTCTCCCAACCTTGCATCTTTTGTTTCTTTCTTCTGTCATGCTCCCCGCCTAATCCTATTGTTGTCTGCTTTGCTTTCAGATCTACTAGAGAAATCCCGGGTGGTGCATCACGTGAAGGGGGAGAGAAATTTCCACATCTTCTATCAAATGCTGTCTGGGGGTTCTGACCAGCAGCTCAGTATGTTCTTCATGTATAGGATCTCTTCCACTGTTTTGGGATTAGAATTAGGATGGGGAACCCAAGGAGGTGGAGAGGAACCCAGAAGAGGCATTTTGAAGGAAGGGAAATGCAGAATGGATCCAGCAGTGATATAGTCATTTTAGGACTTTCATGTCCTAGCAACACATTGAAGTGTGATTAGCCAAGGGTGATGGGCGACAGTAAGGTCATGAGGGTTAAAATAGCTTGCAGAGCATTGGGTCCAAAATGTAGCTAAAACTATTGATTAGGTACCTTTCTAAGATAAAGTTTATGCTTTCAGTAAAAAAATGGTGAGAGGAAAAATAATAGGGCTGGAAGTTATTGCCATTTATTTTTCTAATTCTCAATGGTAGGTTCACCTCTATATATTGGTTGCCTCTAAATTTTGGTGCTGAAGGACAGAGCCCGTCACTCCACTTTAGTTATGGCTCTGTACAGAAGAGGGAATTTCAGCAGCTGCAGCTGGCATGGCAACCAACCCTACTGAAATTTTCCCCTTTTTACATATTTATCAAGGTGAAGAAATACTGGCTGGCTAGCCTCTATTCAAATCCTATAGTATAGCTGATCCCAACCAGGGTAGACCCATTGACCGAATGGGATTTACAGAACTGTTCACATACAATTCAGTGATAAGTTCAATGGGTTTGCTCTCTAGCTGAGACTAATCAATAGGACATTGTTCACGGTATACTTAGAAAAACACACACAAACTTTCATTATTTAACACGTTACAAGTCACCTTACGGTTGGAGTTTTATGCCCACTTTCCTGGGAGCAAGCCCACTGAATTTAGTGGGCCTTATTTGTGAATAGATGTGAACAGAGTTGTGTTATAAATTCAGCAAAATACCAATTTGCTTTTAAATTTAATGAAGATACATTTAAAAAAAATTATTGTCCACAACATGCAATGGCAGTAAGTAAAAGGTTATGTTTTAGACCAGAGATCTGAACACAGGAGAAGTGGGCAGGGCTGGCTCAAGACGTTTTGCTGCCTGAGGCAAAGGAGACGACCGCAGCCCTTTTCTGTGCATGCTGACTCTCACTGGTCAGTCTTATGGATCCATTAGATAGTGTCCCCTGGCCCACTTAAGGCAGCAGGCTATCTCAGGGAGCCCAGTTCAGTCATGAAGAGCAGCCAGGAGGAGGTTGCTGCTGTTGCTGTGGCTGCTTCCCCTGCACTCTCCCTACAACAGCTGCCATTTGTCTGCCTCATGACAGGGCTGGCTCAGGGAATATGGCGTTGGGGCATTTCCTTTTGGCAGGAGAGGGGAAGACCTGAAAATGGGGACACCATCAGAATATCCCTGATGCAAAGGAACGTCAATAAAAAAAGAGAGGGGGACGGAACTTAGGAAGCAGCCATGACCATCTTTCTTTTTTTCCATCAGGACACCTGAAGCTACAGCGAGACTGTAGCCATTACTACTACCTCAACAGGGAGGCCCCAAACCTTCAAGGTGTGGATGATGCAGCCAACTTCAAGGCCCTTCAGGTAGGCCTGTGCTGTGCTGGGTCTGGGATGTGAGTTGCATCACTCTGTGAGAGGCGAAAGGTTGCCTGTGTTTACCATCAGCAGACTCAGAACTTTTCAACGCTGACACTAACCAGCTCCAGTTGGAAAGCCTGTGCTCATTTCAGAGAAACGCCGCTGCCCCCCGATTTTACAGAAGTACATGAAAACTTGAAAGAAAACAGAAGATCAGCAGCTTAAATGCAGGCCAAAGAGGACTGAGCATCGTCAGTGGTCATGGAGTGCACTTTGACTGTTAGGCAGAAGTGGGTGGGATTCAGCAAAAAAGTTGGGAGTGGGAGGGAATGGAATGTCCGACTCTTGGAAGACAGTATGTGGAATGTCCCGTTTTCTTTTTTTGGGACTCCAAATCCTGGAATGCCCTGAGTTCCAGCCCACAAACACACACCCGCAGAAACCTTCATTTCACCCACCCGGAGAAAGGCTGAGGCTTCTTCTAGGCCATTGCTTGTCACAATATTTCCTGGAGGGTGGTTCTTCAAGGGATGCCTTCCTGGGGGTAAAAAAAAACACACACACCCTGCCACCCCCAGGAAACATTGGAGAAAAGGTGGATAATTGGAGAATTCTGGGATTTGTGGTCCAACCCCCTCTAAAATCCACAAATGGCCCATTCCCTAGAGGGTATACTTGGCTGGCCAGAAGCACCCTAGACACGAGCCCTTTTGCAGGAGGTTGAGAATACAATGCGGTATCTTTTAACAGATCCACTGTACTACCCAAATTTGTATCTCGTGTTACCTAGATCCGACTCACCACATACCAAGTGTTGTTGGATTTTGCCTCTGAACCCAGCGCTCTCATACATATGGAGCCTTGCTTGGTTTGAAGAAGTGCACTAAGCGGCTTCACCATTTTTAGCGCTCTCCCCTCATTCTGTTTTGACCAAGATTGCCATGCAGGCCATTGGCTTCTCCGCAGAGGAAGTGACGGCAGTGCTGGAGGTGACGGCTGTTGTCCTCAAGCTAGGCAATGTGCAGTTTCAGGCCGGTGGGGCCGAGTCGTGTGGAATTCAAGACGACAAAGGTCAGAATCTGGTGTTTCCAGTTGCTGTGCAGCCACCTGCAGGCTATTTCCCATTGGCATGATATTCTGACTTCCATGGCGTTTTGTGCATGGTTATAGATGGTGAGAGATAGATAGAGAGAGAGAGAGAGAGAGAGAGAGAGAGGTGGAAGTACCCTGCAATCACTTTTCCTAGGTCTGATGTTATTAAGATAATCAGCTTCTGTTGAAAGCTACAAATGCACACCTCCTTTGTACTCTTCTGTTAACAAGTTGATGTCACCACAGTTCAAGTTTCTGTGCCCTTATAACTTAGAAGCTGCAGACTCTGAGGTGGAAGAAGAACAGAGAAGTAGACATGGCCATGCTGCCCCTCACATGACAGGCTCTGTTTTGTCAGAAAAAATGTGGGAGAAGACTTTTTCTCTTTCCTCTCCCACACCTTCAGAGGAGCAAATTGCCTTTACATCGAGGGGGGGGGGAGATTTCTTTCTTCTCTTCCTCCTCCTCCTTGTCTTTCTCCACAACAAGCAGGTACTTTCCACCTACGCTAGACAGCAACCACCATCATCATGACCTGGTTTCATGGGAGCTGTAGTCCAGAACATCTGATAAGGACCCAACGGCAGGAGAGAGAGGCCTAGCTAATCCATGTATAAAGCCTCACTCCCTGTGTGTGGACCCTGAGAGATACAAATGAGTTGGAAGTCTGCAGGGTAGAAGAGGGAAGGGAGTGGCTCTTCTCCATCATGTAAAGGGAATGTGGCAACCAGCCGCCAATCTTGGCAGCCCATTGCAAGCACTCAAACTGTTCACGCACCCCTCTTTGCTACCTCCAAATGTAAGGGACTACCAGCTGGCTGTTTGATGGTTTGTGGGGAGCGCAGTTGTGGGGACCATGCCTTTCACATACTGTCTTCCTCGTCCTGTGTTCCCCATGCATTGTTAAACAGATATTTGGTGGGCTTGAGAGAATCCAGCTTACGGCCTGTCCTTACTGTGAAATTTAGTGCTATCTGACTGGTGCTTAAGAGGTCCTTACCTTCAGGTCCTTATCTATTTGAACTCTTGGTACTTATCTGCAAAGGCAGAACAAAGAACTATTTTGCATCTCAAGGAATCATCCCAAAAACATTGTATGCCCTTGCCTTCTGCCAGAAAGATGTGGGCCAGTTCTTAAAGGGGAGGATGGATTGTTTTAAACATAAGGGGACAAAAGATTCTTCTGAATATCCTTCTAATTTGTTTGCCGTTGGCAAGATGGATGACGTTGAATGTCCAAAAGGTCTCTCCTTTTTTCCTTTTTGTTGAACAGGTATATGCAAGCACATACTGTATAAATGAATATATGACTGTATTTGAAAAACAGACATTCAAAAACATATCCAAAACATAATACAACGGTATAAAAATATGAAAACTAACTGGACTAAATAAAAATATCAATAACTGCTATAATGAAATTAATAGCATGCTTAAAGGTAGAATTTATTTTCTT